GATCTTCATTTGGTCATCCTCCTTCACCAAAGGGAAGATGCCGCACGTCGGGATTTCCACGCTCATTCCCAACGGAGCTCCTTGTCTCACCCATTGTCCCGTGTAAGCCTCCGGGTCCGCCCCCCGATAGGCCCACGCCTCCAACAGGTTGGCCTGCAACGGGGACTTGAACTTCGTGCCCAAGCCCTCCTCGAAGTCCTCATCCTGCATGATCTGGGTGTTGAAGAACTTCACGAGCCAATCGCGCCACACCTCCACCATCCCCGGGTCGCCCACCGCGTCGCCAGACCCATACTCGGTGGCCACCTTGAGGGCGTCCGGGTAGGCCGACACGAAGCTGTCGAACATATCGGCCACCTTCTCGCCGACCGATCTCAATGCCGGCAACCTCCTCACCGCTGTCGCCGGGTTCCTCATGCCCCCTATGGCCTCTCGGTTCTCCAGCTCCCGCCGCGCCTTCTTGGAGTGCTCCGCCGCTGCCTTCAATTGTTGATGCCGACCTGATCCGCCCTGCCACCTCAGTTCCGCAAAATGTTTCTTGCGCTTCTTGATCTCCACGACTTCTTGGGCAGACTTGAGGTCCAGGTCCAACAACTCCTGGGAGCCCGCGGCCAGCTCGGGACTTCGCGATGTTGGTGGAGCCGGCTTGATCTTCGCCGAAGTGCCCTTTATCTCCTGAACCAGCTCCATCCCTCTGAAAGTCAACCACTCCTTTTTGGCCGTTCTCATCCATGACGCCAGCACCAACCCCGCGTATTTCCTGCATAACTCCCGGGGGTATGCCCCCGCTCTCAAGGACATCTCCTTGCCAACCACCGGCGTGTGTTGGAAGCCGACCCCGCACAAGCAACCTCCAGAGTCTCCTTGCCAACCACCGGCGTGTGTTGGAAGCCGACCCCGCACAAGCAACCTCCAGAGAGCTCCTTCAAGTTATCCAACCTCCCCGCGAAGACCTGCGGCTTGAAGAATCTCATCTCTTCGTCCTGCATGTAGCGGCAGGAGTTAAACTCCGCCACCGTGATCCCCTCCTCCAGCAGGAACTCCTTCATCTCCGGCAGATCCCAAACGCTACCCGCGAGCTTGTGACCTCCATCCGGGGGGTTTTCCAACGTTGCTATTGGTCGACTCCCTGTTGCCTTGGCCCTCAGCTGCATCGCCCTAGCCATTCGGATCGACCGGACAGCCATCAACGTTCCCCGGTCAGCTTCGGCTTGTTGACGTTCGTCATTGTCAGGAAGTCCGTAAATGAAGACCTTGGAACGAACGGGTTTTGGAAGCCCTGGGGACTCTTTCCATCTCAACCTGGAGAAGGACGAACAAGGGAAACCCGAGTGGTAGGCATCATACTCCCCCAGCAGCATCCCCCTCAAATGAGTGGTGTAGGGCTCTTCCGCCAACAGGTCCGTTCCCCCTAGCCTGTCCACACTCACCATCGATACCCGCATGTAGACCTCCTGAGCCATGGTCATGAGTTCCTCGGCCAGGCCATCCGTTTCTCCTGCAAAATGGTGCAAGAACTTGAAGGGCCTCATTTCCACGTACTCCCTCATGCTTCTCGCCTCTTCCCGTGCAGCTTGAAGTCGAACCTCAAAGCCCTCTCCGATGGCGACCGTGCCCTCGAGCTCTGCCATGACTCCACCTGCCCTTCTAGAAGAGCTCGATGCCATTGTGCCTAAGTCCCCTTCTTCTGAGAGCAACGAGTCTGCGGATGGGAGGGTGACAAACATATCTGACACTTGTGCACCCGCTTGACGTGACCTGCGCACTCCCCACCCGCCTCGATTCCTGCACACGGGCTTTGACCATTGTTCCATGCAAAACAAAGATCGTTCCCTTGGTTGTCCTTGACCTTCAAACCCTTTCCACCACCTTTGGGGGCTTTGCCTGCGTTTCCTTTGCCTCGGTTGCCCTCGTCTCGTTCCTCCCCCAATCTTTTCTTCTTGGCCGCCCTCCGGTCCCGGTTCGCTTGCCGTTTCTTGGGGTCGTTCACCACAGTGGGCATTTCCCAAGAGCCTTCGCCCCCTGGGGCATGCATCTGAGTGAACTCCTCTACCGGCGTCTTGGCCACCCCTCGACCTCCCGCCGCCATCCAAGCAGTTGCCGGATGCCTTACGTGATGAGCCCAAAAACCCTCGTCCTCCAAGAGCAAGCGAAAACATGCCGTCCACGGACTTTTGGGCTCCCATCCATCCGGAGGCCTCTTGCCGTTGGAGGCATCCACCAGGACCTTCTGCTTGATTTTGATCAACTTCTCGGATCTGGCCTTCTCGTCGGCCGCCACGATCAAATGCCACGCCGTGGGATACATTCTTACCAGCTTTTCCACGTGCCTCTCGTACCCTTCCAAGACCGCCAAACTCAGGATGCCCAACATCAGGGAGGCCACCCGAAACACTCTCCAAGAAGCCAACCACTGCTGAAAATTTCCTGGCCCCGGGAGTTCCTTGGCGATGTAAGTCCCATCTCCCGAAGGCAACCAGGTTCGAAACTTGTTTGCCCTCAAAGCCCTTCGCCCAAAGGGGACCCAAACAGCGAAGTCGACAAACGGCGGGTTTTCCTGAACCGTAACCTTTTTGAAGAGTGCCGTCAACTGCTCCAACGTGGGATCCTCCTCGTCCTGCGGGTTGAAGCCCATTATGGTCAGGTAACGCTGCACCCAACTGTCGTACATATCCATGGTCACCGGGATGAACTCCCCCTCGTCTGATTGATCTATCACAGCCGACATCTTGACCGTCCTTTCCTTCACGTTGTGGTTTCCTGTTGCCATTCCCGAACCAGTCGGTGTAGACAAAGAACCACCACCGCCAGAAACCCCTTGGCTGGATCCAGCCACCATAGTCGCCTGCAACGGCTGCCACGGATCCGTGTCCCTCCAGTCGTCCCACGCACCACCACCAGAAGTGAAAGCCATTCTCCTGCAGCACCGCCAAACCAACCCAACATGGGCCGCTTGAATCATAGACAGGGGCGTGCCGTCGGAGAACTCCGCGTGATTGACACCCTCCAGCAACGCCGTCTCCGGGAGAGCGGCCATCAAACGAACCGAATCTCCCGGATCGCCCACACGCCCAACGAAAGCCAGCCAAACACCCTGGTCTATATTGTACCAGGTGAGGACCTCGTTTAACGACGTCCATCGCATAGCAATAGCTCCATCGGGGAAAAGCGACATAGCGGCCCGCGGAAGAAAACATCAAACTGGGATGTGAGGGGGCCTGGCACCTTGAGCCAAAATGGCCGGTGACCAGGTGACATTTCCCCCCCTCACACCCATACTTCAACCTGTCATCTTGTCCCACAGCCACTGTGTGGCTTTCACATCAAACTTAAGATAACTTCTTTACAAAACAGTAAGGGCCAAAGAGGGTTGCCCACAAGAGGCCCTGAGCCTCTCTGTTTTGGGGTCCTCTTTGATGTCCAACCTTTTGGGGTTGCTGAAAAACGGGCCGTGACAATACTAAAGAAGAATTGGCAATGCTAAAGCAAGCACTGGGAATCTGAGAGCCAACCTTGGCAATACTAAAGTAGATTTGAAAATGCTAAAGCACTGGAATCTGAGAGTCAACCTTGGCAATGCTACAGTAGAATTGGCAATGTCAGTACTGGGAATCTGAGCGTCAGCCTTGGCAATGCTAGAGTAGAATTGGCAATGCTAAAGTAAGTACTGGGAATCTCAAGGTCAACCTTGGCAATACTACAGTGGAATTGGCTGCTACAGGAAGCACTGTCCCTCCCAGACCTTCTAGCTGACTGGTTCCACTGTTCCAGGGAGGGGGGGGCCGTGTAAAGAGGGTCCAACATTAAATGTGATGTTGGCCTACGGACCCTGGCAGGGGCGACCAATGGACGCATGCATTCTAAGACATGGGCTCCATTCGGGATGCCAATGGGACCGTGAAATCAAAAACAGAACCCTGGGGGGGTAAAAGGCTTTTAATAAACAAAGGCCGTACATGAACATCCTGGGGCCTGGGGGCCTGGGTGGAATTCCAACTTTACATCGTCAGCAACAAGCCTTTTCCACACCAAGCTAGACTTGCGAAGGCCTCAACGTTAAAGCAGCACATTTCTGCATCATCAATGGAACAATCATGGTCTTCCCGAAACATCCATTCAGCAAGACCTTCTCAAACCCAGCAGATAACAACGCCAGCCAAGACGAATGCGAGTGGCTTTCGCCTGCCAAATTTCACGTCGTTTCACGGTCTTTCACTGCAAAAAAAGGCGTTCACTCCAATTTCACAGTATTTTCACGCTTTTCCCTTGTCGATTTCCCATTGCTAAGCCCATGATCAATCTCTCTAGAAATCCCACAAAGTTGAAGACCTTGAGCATTGACCAGCTTCAACATGTCTACATGGTTTTCGCGAGGCTTTGGAAAGCGTACTTTTCAGCCACAAGCACTGCAAAGCCATGTGGCTACTAATGCGGCCAACACAAAACTGTCAACCCAATTAAAAGCGTCCAGCTTGCAAACAAAGGACGTTCCGCACATTTCACGGCCGCTTCCTAAAGGCCTTTCTTTTTAAGGCCCCCGAACCCCAGGGAGAATATCATCAGATTCTATGTTTCATATTTTCACCCTATCCAAAGTGTCGGAGACCCAAACTTTCTTTTGTTTATCACATCCTGAAGTTCCTGGACATTCAAAACAATGGCTGTAAAGTTAGGCCGGTGGCAGCCCCGTTCCCTTCTCAGGCCATGAAAAATGGTTACTCAACCTAAGTTCAGGTCGATTCGCTTTGGCTCCGAGGTCTCCAAAGGGAGGTCCTCCCTCTCCGTGCCCTCCTCTTGATGGCATTTGGGGGTTGTATAAAGCACCGCCTCAGGCACTTGGATGGGTCACCCGGTCGCTGGTCGCTGGGCGGACGTTCCTTTTTTTGGGGGGGGACTCCCTGCGGAAAGCCTGCGACCAAAAAAACTCTGGCAAGGTCCGAACCGAAACGGACTGCACATCGACCCAGCGAGTGACCCAGCGAGTGACCCGTCCGAGGCGCCAGGTGCCGAACTTGAAGTCGATGTTGCCAAAGAACAAATTCCCCCAGGTCTCCGAGAGGCGCTTGCTCATGTCCCAGCCAGTGGTGTCCACGACGAACTGGTAGTACCTGGCGACGGGCGACTTCGGGCGAGAAAACTCGGGGAGTTCGGAGAAAGGAAATCCGGAGGTTGGGCGGTGTCGGAAAAAAAGGGAGTTCGGAAAGCTCGGAGCTCGGAAATCCTGAGGTTGGGTTTGGGATCTGGTTTAAGGAGACCCGCCTCAATTCCTGAGTGGGCTTGCCCCAAAGAGAGAATACAATGGTTCTTTGGTTTGCACCCATGGTCACCCAAAAAATGACCCTTCAGAACTTCAGTCTAGGACCCTAGGAACTCGAGTGACCCCACAACCCAGGGATCGGCCGGCCATCCAAGGACACCAACCAGGTTAGATAGGTTTGCCGACGCTGTCGAGTCTTCGTAGCTGGGAACCGACGAGGCTTGGCACGGCCGGCCATGGGACACCAAATAGTTTAGACAGGTTTGCTGTTACAGGTTTCACGTTTAACTAAAGCAAAAGAGGAAGAGGTAGAGAAACCAAAGAGAAGAAAAGAGAAAGAGAACGAGAAAGAGCAAGAAAAAGGAAAAGAAAGAGCAAGACAAAGAAAAAGAGAGAGACGCAGAAAGAGAAAGATAAGAGAAAGAGAAAAGACAGAGACCTATAGTTTGTATATCTCTAGAAACTTCCGACCACCGGCTCCGCCGGCTCTATGTTATCTGTCATTTGCATTTGTTCGTCCCCTGACATATTTCCAGTAGCGAAACGGGCTATCAAACCACATATAAGCTCCACGTCCCCAACTAGAACTCCGATCAAAGCCCTGAAAGAAAGGCCCCCTCAAAGGCTAATTTGGATGCCACCGAGCCCGGTTCCCTGCCAATCACAAGCTTGATATAAAGCAATACGGCATTACTCAGCATGTGTATGCCTTTGGAGCGAGCCTTCCTCCTGTATTTGTAGGTGTGCCTTTTTCTAAGGGTACCAGTTTTGTGGTTTTAAACCGACATCAAAGGAACATCCACAAATGCATCGTATTGTATTCTAGTGTACTATCTGTATTGAATTTGTATTCGATGCTTTTAGTGGTACTGTGATGTATCGTATTGTGATATAATACATGGTCAGTACATATATTTCAAGATTCCCCCTGGCTCACCGCGTAAAGCGACTCAGGGCACGTGGCGTGCTCAAAGTTGTCGCCGCCAGACCAGGCCGCCAGAAAGAGAAAGCCCAGGATGGTAAATGCCGTCATTGCGGCCCTGTGCGACGGACGCTGACATAACTTGGGTGGGATGGGAATTAAAACGAGCCGCGACCAACACACAAACCATGTGAAACATGTGAAACAAACCATCTGAAACAACTATTGCACAAAACACCCATTTCACAAACCATGTGAAACAACTACAGAGACTGCCGATGTTCACCGATACAATGTTGCCCCTGTGCCTTCCGTCCGCTTTGACATCAAGGCTTCCTGCAGAGGTATTGTTAGGTGGCTGGATCCCCAATCCCAATCCATGACCCGTCGGGCACGAACACAAGGGAAGCCACCATCTGGCATCGGATGTATTTTGAACAACCCAGTCTGGAGCACGGTTGCGGGAAATAGCCCTTTCTCTGATACCAAAGTGGGGAATTCCTGTGACTTCTCTTGAAGGCAGGCTTCAACTTGGTATCGCAGAACTGGCACAACAAATCCAAACGTGTGCATTTGTGCTGCGGTTGAAACACACAAATTAGATGAGTCACCGTCAAACCCCGGCATTAAAATTGTCTATCCAGAGCCAGGTAAAGAGGTGAAATTCTGTAATTATAGTAATATGAATAATAAGACTAATTAATTTAATAATACTAATAATAATAAAAATAAGTCTATTGCTAATATTAATTATAGTAGAAATATCGAGGACATTAATAATACTATTAATAAAAATATTAACAATAATAATAGTAATAATAACAATAAGATTAATAATATCAATTAAAAAGAATCATAATATTAATATTAACAAATCATTAAAACAAAGTGAATATAACTAATGATAATTGACAATAATAATGTCAACAATAACAGTAAGATTAATAATATTAATGATATTCATAATAATAACAATTATAAGATTAAGTAAATAAATCATACTATTGAAACAGTAATATTAACTATAACAGTATTAATAATAGAATATATTAAGAGTAAGATAAATAATGAACATATTAATAACACTAATAATATTAATACTACTAATAATATTAATAATAATAGTGATAATATCGTTTAATCATAATAAAGTAGTACTAATATTAAGAACCGTCGTGCAAATTGGTCGTGGGTACGTTTTCTTGCGTCGTGGGTACGAAAAAGTAGTCGGTGGTACACCATCTTCTCACGGTATTGTCCCCTACCCTCCGATGGGCTTTGATGACCCTGGTTCAAAGATCGCGGACTGAGACTCTGAGACAGGCGCTGGGCAATTGCGCCCATTGGTTTCGCAGCTGCGGCCAGCAGGACCTCAATCAATCCGAAGCGAATGGGCTGGGGGGGTACCATGGGGTGTCGGACAAAGGGGTGGGGTACCAGTCAGGTTCCGGGGTACCCTCAACAGCTTCAAGGGGGCCCCAACCCCAGAAAAGGGCAAGATCTGAATAAGGGGCCCGGCAAAATAGGTGATGGCCTTGTCGCTTCCCTCTAATCCGTCTAGACGAAGTACCAATGCCAAGAAGCAAACACACCAATCAAACAAAACAAAGAAACCAAACTGGGCAGAACAAACCAAACCAAATCAAACAACCAACAATCCAACCAAAACCAGGCTAATCCAAACCAGGCCAAATCAACAAATCAAGCAAGCAAGGAAGCAAGGACGCAAGCAAGCACAAACAAACAAACAAACAACAAAGCAAACCAGATCAAACCAAACAAAAAACATAGCTATAGATATACCTATATATATATATACGTAATATACCAACCCATCCGTCTGGAATTTTCTCCCCTGCAGGCCGCTAAGCTCAAGGCTACTGGCACCTCTACGCAAAGCAGGCTGGCGAAGAACCAGTCGATACGCATGGAGTTGGTCTGGATGGCCTGGGACTGGGACCCTGAAATCTTGGTTGCCGTTCTCAGTTGTTCAGTGACTCTGGAGAAAAAAGGGAACCCTTTTTGGGGAAGACCATTTTTATCGGGGCAGCCACCTCAAAAAAAAAAAGAAAGGGAAAGGGTGCCATTGAGGGTTTGGGGCCGTCCAACTACCAAGCAACCGGCCAAGCCAAAGGACGACCCTGAGGGGTGGTCAGGGGTGGTTGGGTTGTTCGAGCCCCCCCCGTCCTTCTTTCGTTTGCTGTTGACCCGTCTGCAAAAAGCTTAACTTTTTCTGAGTTTAGAGGAAACCCCCAACTTGGTTTCAACCAAAAAGTTAAAGTCTAAAGATCCAACCCAATAGCAGTCAACAAATTGTTTGGGACCCGTCAAGCTACCAAGCAACCAGCCAAGCCAACCTCCATTTGGTTAAGACCCCTGGCAAAAAAATAGAAAAAATGGCCAGTAGTGCTCGATTCCAACTTTAAAAACAAGAGGGGAACATAAAACATAATATTCCTAAGCAAATGGAAGCCAAGGGATGACCCTGAGGGGTGGTTAGGTTGTTTTGGCCCAGACGAATTACCAGGCAACCAGCCAAGATGCGCAAAGCCAAGCTAAGCCAAGCCAAGCCGAGCCGAGCCAAGCCAAGCAAACAGCCAACCGCTTGTTTGCGACGTTTTGGGGACTTGGACATGGGGATTCCTGGCACTCTTAGACAGCTTGGGGGTTCAGATCTGAATCATGAGCCAGGACCAAACAACGATGGGTCCTGCCAGACCCGGTTCGTGGAAAAGCAACGGGGATCAGTTCACTGTGGGACAGTGGGCCTATCTCACTTGCCCAAAGGACCTACAAATAAAAGGTTAACCTTTTGGGACCTTTACTAGAAATGGACCAACATGGGAAAACCACCAGGTCAAAAGGTCGGCTTCGGGCAACTGAGTTACTATATATATATATACCTATGGTCTCCAAAGCATGCTCTTTTCCTGCTCTTTCGTGCAAAGGAGCTTTTTCGACGAGGCGGCACTCAAAAGTGCTCTCGAGCACTTTTGTAGTTTTGAGGGTTTGCAGAACGCCCACCACATTTGAAGGTCTGGCTCCCACTTGCTGAGTTTGATATTGGCTCCTCACAAGGTTTTTCTTTTCACGAAGTGACCTCCCAGCATCCATTGCTGGCTCGACACACAGCATTGCATTGGGCAATGCTGCTCTATCAAACATCATAGCCGTTTCCAAGCGTTTAACTTCTCTCAGAGCCGGCCAAGCTTTGAAAGCAAACGTCCGATGCTCGGCATCACGGGCGCTCAGAGCTCATGGTCTGGCCTGAGCAGCGAACAGTGGTGACCCTGCCATTCAGTGTCAAAGCATTGTGCGCAGTGTTGCACTTTGATGCTGCCACACATTTCTTGCCCCTGAGCAATTTGAGATCAATCGTTCTGAGACCATGGCGTCCACGGGGCGAGGAGATGGGCATCCACTGCCTGAGCCAGGCTTGCTGGCCGCGGCGTGGGAGAAAGAAAGCAGCCTTCGAAATCGTTTGCTGGGCTCGGATCCTTATCTCACGAGATGGTTGAATAAAAGCGCGATTGGGGTGCCCAGCTGCAAGGCTATGGGGCTTAACTTTGTGGCACTGGAGAGGATCGCAGAAATCTGGTGTCCCCTCAGCCCGTGTCCGCGAACTATCCCTGTGGAGTTCATGAGATCGGAGGCGCGGAACATGACAAAGAAAAGGTCTCGCAACTGAAGAATGTTTTTTAAGGTCAGGCTAAGTGTGGGTCGCACGCGTTTTCCCGACAGATTCGCAAACTCCGTGGCCTGCTTGGGAAACCGGAAGACCCAGCTCTAGTTCAGCTCGACGGGCAAGGTCTCAAAATGCTGTTCTCGAGGGGCATCCGACGCTTCACAGCTCAGACCTATGCTACCCGGGAAACTCGCCCTGTTTGAGTTTTTTTCCTGGCATGTGGCTTCCACTATCCTGTATAGGGTGGGCCCGAAGTTTCTTTTGAGCAAGGTAAGCTTGTTTTGGTTGGCCTCTAGAACGAAGCCCTCCTAAGGTACCTGAACTAGCACGGTTCTTCCAGATCTTGGAGGAGCATTGGACGGAACCCAGCGAGGTGATCGTCGATGATGATAGTGAGGATGGCGATGCTGCTGGGGATCGGGAGGATGCTTTGTGGGAGTTTGGAGCCAACCGTGAAGCGAAGCCAGCTTCCCCGCAAGCCCAGAGCAAAGAAAGCTCAGACACGCCCGCCGACCCTTTGCAGGACACTCCCTTTCTGAAATCCGCAGCCTTGACGGGGCAAACAGAGCCTACAGTTTTGATTGGGCAAAGCCTGGCCAAACATGGCCACCTTGATGTTGAGCCTCAGCCATCGAACTCAGCAGAGCCTAGCCCTGCAGAGAAAAAAGCACACATCCTGGCCCGCGCTGAGGCTCTCAGGCGCTATGGGGTCACCCGCTTTTGGGGTTGGCTGAAAGGGAACCCAAAAGGAAACATTGAGGACGACCATTTCATAAATTTGGCCACCCATTTGTTGTTTTGTTTAGCATTATGTTGGCCAAACATGAAGCTGTGAAATAAAAGCATGGGATTGGACGGCTCACTGTCCACGCCTCTTCAGGCGCCGCATCTCGATGAACAAGCTGGCCCAGTCAGAGGCGTCACCTTGCGCGCTGGCCGTTTGTGGCTGGGCAAAGCGATCTTTTTGTGTTTTTCTTTTTTTTTTCGGGGTCCGAGTTGTAGCTTGGGGCTTGGGCCAAACTGCTTGGTTTGGGTTTCCCAGGCACGGACAACGCAGACACCCTGCCCATGAGCGAGGCTACGGTGCAAGCAGCAGCTGATCTACTTGGCATCAGCGAGAAAGCGGCTTGCCGCCAAAGCGGCAGCAGGTCACCTACGCGTGCGGCTTTTCAGTCACAGAAGACGCTGCAGCTCGGGGAGGGGTGGACGGAGGCCCTTCACAGCCCACCTGCGCATGACAAGGAGAAGACGATCTTCGAGAACGAGGCGGCCAACAACAACTATGACCAGGACAAGGCCGGGGACTTCCTGGAGAAAAACCCTGACAAGGACGGCGCGGACTTACTGAAGAACAACCACGACCAGGAAGTGGCCAAGACCGGTGGCTTGCTGGAGAACGACCGTGGCTTGATGGAGAACGACCATGACCAGGAAATGGCCAAGACAGGTGACTTGCTGGAGAACACAGGCGCGGACTTGATGGAGAACGACCATGACCAGGACAAGGTTGAGACCGGCGCGGACTTGATGGAGAAAGCCAAGACAGCGACGGACAAATCTGCAGCAAGTGCAGAAGCGCTGGCGCTGACCAATCTGGTGGCTTCGTTCGCAGAGGAGCGGCGCAACAACCTGGAAGAGGACAACGTTCCGCCAACTCAGCCAAGCCCGGTCAAGTCCGAGAGCGGCTTCCCAGGCATGGAGGACGGCATCCCCATCATGCCCATGGTGCATCGAGGCCTGCAGCAAGATTTCAAGACGTCGAAGCAGCGCGTTGCGAAGGTCAAGGAGGCAAGTGGCGAGCATCATGGCGAGCCGGCGGACAATGAGACTCAGATCAAAGAGGGCGAGGCCCAGGACGGCGATCATCTACGGGGACGAGGGCGAGGGCGAGGTTCAAAGGCAAGCAGCAGCCGTGGTAGGGCAGGAAGGGGAGCAGCAGGAGCTGGCACGAGGGCAATGAAGCGGCCTGCGGCGTCCATTCTTGAGACTTCCTCGTCAACGCCTCCTTTGAAGCCACGAAGGTTGCTACCAGATCTTGCCATAAGCTCGGACGAAGAGGTGCCGGTCAAGATAGAGCAGGCGGAGGAGGACGACCAGGCGCCCGTCAAGACAGAGCTCGTGCAGACCGAGGTACCCAAGCCGTTAGCCAAGGCAGCCAGCAAGCGTGCTGCAAAGAGGTGGACGCCAAAGAAGAAGAAGACGGCCAGCAAGAACGACGCCAAGACCGAGCAGGACACCAACGAGAAGGAGCGCAAGAAGAAGGGCACGAAGAAAGCAGCGGAGGGTGGCGAGCGCGCCCCTCCCTCGGAGGGCCCCGAGACACGACTTACCTTTGCAGGCAGGCGCCCGCCCAAGACAATCTCGGCGTTCAACCGCTTCTCCGCTTTGTCCAAGACCTTCCGTGACCAAATCGTGCCGCAGCTCGCGGCGCATCAGGCGAACAGCAAGATGCAGGCAAGCTGACTCCTGAACATGGAAGCCTGTTTGCGGCCCTGTTCCCATCCTTTTCGGAAATTCAGTGGGCAATTTTCTCAACCCAAACTCTCAAAAAAGGAACCCGAACCCTTTACCTCAAACCATTGTCGAAGCTGGTCCCCTGCAGCTTTCGTGGTGGAACTTTGCTTTCCCAAAGCTCGTGGCGGAGAACCCCCAGGCCAACGAAGAGCAGTGCCTAGACGTGGCCCGGAAACAGGCGGAACTCTTCCTGCCAACCATCACTGAACGTCACTGGCATCAAAACAAAACTTATGTTTGTTTTTGGGCTTGTGGTGTGTGCCTTTAATCGTACCCCGGGCCCACAGACCCTAAACCACAAACCGCTGCAAGCATTAGTTTTCACCCTGCTGCTCTCAGGCAAGCCTGAGCTGGACGAGTGATTTCTCGATCGCAACCATTTGAGGGGACACACAGCGCATTACTGTGTGCCGAAAGGTGTTGCCCGATTTTGTAACTGATGTTGCTTGGTAGGCGGCTCGCAGGGTCTTCAAACGATAATTATCCAAGGAACTCATGTGGTCCCGGCTGTTACCCTTTATGTTTGGTTCAAGGGTGAAGACTCTCCATGAACAGCTGCCAGCAGGCAAATTGTTCTCATAGACAAGCGTGGCCGAATCATCAAAGCTTGGAAGAAAAACGGTCGACTGCGCCAGAAAGGTAGGAGTGAATCATCCTGTGGCCCGCAGGTATGACCCTGAGGCGCGGGCTGTCAAAGCTCGCTTCGCAGGGCTTCTTCTGCGAGAGCCGC